GAAAACCAGACCTCCTTTTTGTCCTAACTTCGTTTTAAAAAAGAACATCACCCCCCTCACCCTACCCGAGCTCATTAATTGAAGTGTTTCTGTGGTATACAGCAAGAAAGGAAAACAAAAGTATGTGTTAATTGATTGCCCCTTATCAAATCCAGGAAGAGTTTTGATGAATTTAGATTGCTGCCTTGAAGGGTGAGACATGGACCTCTTAACAAATCCTTTTCCTCTTTTATCTGTTGTGATCTTTTTTCTTACTACCACAATTAGAATCCTGCTGATTTAGATGAAGGAAAGTGTTTTCTTGAAGTTCCTCTTTTTCAGCTTTTTAACTTTTTATTGTAACTTATAAACCAAAAAAAACAATTTTTTTCTCGGCTGGCCCGTACAGGGATTGAACCCTGGACCTTGGTGTTATCAGTACCACGCTCTAACCAACTGAGTTAACCGGCCAGCCCCTAATCTGAATATTTTTGCTTATAGGAACTTCTTTGTGATAATGGAACAAAATGTTGATAATAGCAGATAAGCCAAAAAGAAGAAAATAATCAATAATCCTGCCACCCAGAGATCACCAAAATGTTAACAGTAGTTCTTTTTTGTATTTATATATTATTAAAATATGGTATTGCACCGCATATGCTTTTCACACACTAACCCTCTTTCACACACTAGTACTTCTTTTTTTCTTTTTAAAGTTTTTACAAATATGGACTTTTGGACCTTAACCTTTAGGGAATATTCACGAGTATGTCTGGCAAACCTTAATTATTAGAATTATGGTTTGAAAAAGTTTCCTCCCAAATCCCTATAATAATGTGAGATTTAAGAAATGAATATGGGGCTGAGCCCGTGGTGCACTCGGAAGAGTGCGGCGCTGGGAGCGCAGCAGCACTCCCACCGCGGGTTCGGATCCTATATAGGGATGGTCGGTGCGCTCACTGGCTGAGCCCGGTGCGGTCGGTCTCAAAAAGGACAAAAAAAAAAAAAAGACATGAATATACATTGTATGGCAAAGTAAGGCTTTGCTTGTCTTAACTCTTAGAAAAGCGGGCACAGCCTGAGTTAATATGGAAGTTTAAATAGCTTTTGCTTATTTAGTGTTTTGATTCAAGTAAAGGTTTAGTTCTAGTCAGTAGTTACAGTGTGTTCCAAATGCCACTCAGCTGTTCAGGCCCCATGCGGTAAGGTCTTGGAAGATTTTACTCTACACATCACACTTAATATGCTTTATTTTCATTAGGTCCCACATGTTTGCCCATTTAGTCTGGTGCTTTACCAGAGGCACCAAAAGAGCTTTCTGTAGAAGGAAATGTCCTGTTCACGTCAACCTCAAAGGATAAGTACATACCATGAAGTATCCTAAATCTGCTAATAACCCATTTTGGGTCGGATTCTCATAAACTTAACGAAAACCTTTAAATCTCTATTTTCATCTTGTATCTCTTGGGTAATTAATCCCAGGTACTCACTATTTAATTAGTAAGTGATTTAGTTTTTTCTTTGATTTGCCTTAATCGATAGTGTTCAATATGTATTCTTAGATTTTCCACGTCTTCACTTTCTACCACCTTTGCCAGGCTATCACTATCTCTCAACCTGTTCTCTCTGCTTCCACTTTGGCTTTATTATTTATTTATTTATTTCGGTTACTGGCCTGTTTGGGGATCCGAACCCTTGACTTTGGTGTTATAACACTGCACTCTAACCAGTGGAAAGTCCTGTACTTTGGCTTAATGGTGTAGTCCCATTACCAGCCTAAGAGCTCTTTTCAAATGTAAATCAGGTAATGTCACCCCCTTGTTGAAAGTCTCCTGTCTGCATTCAGAATAAAACCCAAACTCCTTATCAAGGCTTGCCAGGCACTACATGTTTGGGCACTGTCTTCCTCTTATCTTAACTTGTATCCTTCTGCCAAGTTCAGTATCCTGGATCCTGGCCACACAGGCTTCTTCCTGTATTCCAGCCCCACTGGCATTGTTGTTCCTGGAATTAGCTTGCCTTAAGGCCTTTGCACTTGCTGTACCTTGTGGATCAGTACTGTTCTTCCAGATCTTGCTGTAGCTGTTCTTTTGTCATTCAGGTCTCAGGTCAGATGTTGCCTCTTCAAAGAGATTGCCCCATCTCTCCATTCTATTTCATTTTCTTTGCAACATTATCAATATCTGGAATTCTGTCGTTTTTTATTTTCTTCTGTACTGGAAAGTAAGCTCTGAAGATGAGGATCCTGTTGTTCCTTTTCAATGCGTAGTAGGTACTCAATGAATGTTGGTTGAATGAATGAACTTGGTGAACATGGCTGTTTTCCTTTTGAACGTACTGTGTAAAGGCCAGTTCTTAACATGGAAGAATTCTAATTTTCAGCCTTTTTTTTTATAGGACAGTGCTTTAATTCTTTTACTTAAATAATTCTTGATGTTTGGGCCAGAGAACACCCACATTCTACTTCAGACCTATGAAATTAGTCTCTGGGAGAATGGGTCCCCAGAACCTGCGTTTTCACCAACCCTCGGATGATTTTAGTGTACATTAATGTTTGAGATTGCCTCAGTATTTTAATGGCTTTTCTCTGGGAGATTGCTTCTTGGCTTTATAGTAGTAATGACAACTACCATTTCTTGGAACACTTTATGTATCAGGTACTATGCTAAAAATTACTCTTACATGTATTTCATTTAACTGCACAGCCACTCAGATGTAGGTATTCCTACTCCGATTCCTACAGTGTCGACAGTGAAGGCACCAAGACATAGTAAATGGCAGAAACTTGGATTTGAACCCAAGTCTGTCTTCTTAATCACTGTGCCCTACTGCCTCTGAACTACAGGGTTTAGAACTGTATGCACACAGTACTTTGGTTAAGATAGGCCATGTTTTTGTTAAGGACAAAGTAGTGTTTTCTGTCCCATTTCCAATCCTGTCCTTAATGAAGTCCATTGTTTTGTTGGCTTTTAACCTAAAGTTGCACGGGGGAGATGACCTTCAGAAACATTCTGCAAAGACTCCTAGAGTGTCTTGCTTTTTTATATTGAGTGCTGAGATCCTACCACACTTGAAGTAAATTTGGAGTATTTTGGAGTATTTTTCTCTCACTTTCTACCTGTTGATACAGTCATATGAGTTCTTCTTACAATTTCTCCATTTCTCCGTTGATTTGGGTGTTTTACTATTTGGGACTGCCTTTGGATGATCATAAGCTGCAGAAATTTCTCACTGCAAGACCTCTTTCTGAGTTAAAAAAAAAAGTGTTAAATTTAATAGTTGCATTGATTTTGTGGAGGACTTCAACCCAGAGAAATACTGGGCGTTTTTAATCATCCTTCCTGGTCTTTCAGCCTGGCTAATTCTGTTTCTGTGGAGGCTTAGGTCACACGTGACCTTTACCAGAGGTCTAGCCCAGCCCCCTCGAGCTTCTGTAAATAGCTTTGTATGTCTCTCATCCTTCACCTTTTGTATTTAATTAGTGTGGCTGTCTGGCCAATTTGATTGGGAGTCCCATGAGGTCAAGGAGGAACAATTAAGCAATCAATAGGCTTGTTCACAGAGTAAATAGTGAGACAAATCTCACTTCAATTGGTATCTGTAGAGAACAGTACATTGCTAAAATGAATTATTTGTAATAATCTTTTTTTTTTTTTTTTAAAGATGACCACTAAGGGGATCTTAACCCTTGGCTTGATGTTGTCAGCACCATGCTCACCCAGTGAGCTAACCGGCCATCCCTATATGGGATCCGAACCCGTGGCCTTGGTGTTATCAGCACCACACTCTCCTGAGTGAGCCATGGGCCGGCCCTGTAATAATCTTTTTTTGACATAATTTAATAAGACTAAAAAAACCTTAAAACCAGAAACTAAATTAAATTGTGTAAATTGATGATGTATGATGTATTA